CCACCTGCGGGGTGGCAACAAGTTCATATATTACTCAAAAAACAGTCAAGGGCAATATAATATTCCAGTAGCTTACAGAATATGCATGAAGTTTTATATAGATGGTCATATCAGGCAGGAAAAACACGCAGAATAGAAAAAGCATGCGTGCCGATTTATAAGTTTTTGATTCTTGCGAGATTTGATGGAGCGAATTCGCGAGGAATCGGAGCCGAAAAAGCGGAAAGTCTGATTACTCGGCGCCAAGATGTCGCGAAAGACGTCGCCATATGACGGCGAAAGAGAAATGCGTAATAAACCAACGCAACCGCGTCTTTGGTAAATCGATTCCATTACATTTGAACCCATGTACATTTGAACCCACGACGATTGCACCGGCATACTATTGCACCTATGGTTTTTTTTTTTGTTTTACGGATATTTGAACCCATACTAACCATATAGATTGAACCCGCGGATATACACATGGGTTCAAATGTACGGTCACCTGGTAAATCAATTGAGACGGCATAAAAACAATAAAATACCGAAATTTTTCGCGGACCGGCAAAAAAGCTTCGCGGACCAACGGTTGGGAACCACTGGGTTAGACTAGTCAATCACGGTGAATTTGAGAGAGACTTCACTGTCTTTTCTTCCTTGCAGTGGTTCCCAAACTGTGGGTCGCGACCTTTGGTTGGGTCGCGTCAGGATTTTCCGGGGTCGCCTAACTTCTGTTGAACATGCGCACACAAGTCACTAGAACTTGAAAGTGGAAACTTGAAATTAGCTGGGTAATGAATAAATGCAACTGAGTGATAGTGACATAGTGTTACGACTTACGATCGTCAACATTACTCCCCTGTTTATAGCTTTTTGATCATGTTACGTCCGAATAAGTCGTTGACCATCTTGCATGCTGAACCAGTGGTCCCAACCGCTGGTCCGCAAACCGGATTTTTACTGTTTTGCGGAAAATTATGTTGTTTTGTTATTTTGTTACCAATGCCCTCTTTAGTGGCCAAATATACACAGCAACGTTCCCTTATTGGGTGATTGGGATTTTGACAAGTATGGCATTGATTGCTCGGCGCTGTCTTGGCCATGTAGTTATACTTTTCAGGTTTTCCATTCGTTGCGAAAACACCTTTTTTATTTCCCGCGCGTGTCCAAAATGAACTCGTATGTGTTTTTGTCTACATCGCCTCCCTATAAAAGGGAAAATTTTAGTATTGCAATATGATCGTATTTATACATCCAAATAATCCTCATAAAACAAAAATATGATGTAAGGGCTTCACGCAGTCAAAAACAAAACGACGACAAATCAAACAAAATAAATGCATTCAATAAGACGAGATCCCGAACACGTTTCTTACCTACTTTACTTTCATGATCTGTTGTGATTTCGAATTAATTATGAAGCAATCTGCAATATTTTAACATGGGACTAAACAAAACACTGTTGGAATATACAGAATAAGATTTTAAATTTATCCATATTTAGAAGCATTTTTCTTTTCCCCAAAGTATCGCACGCTTCCTCACAACCTACTGCGTTTCATCAGCCTGTCTTTATTTTGCCAAAGAACTCAGCGTTCTGTTAATATTCTGAAACTCAGAGATTTCAACATCGTGGTTATCACACAGTGCCATGTGTTATCAAATTTTCTGATGGTTCCCCGTTTCTCCGGAGCACCGTCGGACGTGTTCAATAATTTTCAACTTTTGTTCAGCCGTTTGTCCAAACTCTAAACTGTTTTTGGTGTTTTGTAACCTGACACAGGTTATTTTTTTATGTTTCGTTCATTTGAACATTTTGTTTCCGTCTCGCTAGCTCATTTTAATTGATTTGCTTGCCCGCAGGGGTAAAAAGGTTGGAGCTGAAGAGTTACGTACAACAACTACACAATAACGCCCCTAACTTACAGTCCATATACAGGCACATTGTTCTCATTAGTGACATGTCACACAATCGGGCATTAATTACTTCTTAGCCAGAAATCGAACTATTGCACCAAAAGTACAATTCACGACGACGTAGTGCGTTTAATAAACAAAAACGTGTGTTTGGTGGATATTTTGCAAGTCTTATTTCAAACATCGACCATTAATCCGTAGTCAGCGAGTACCCGCATTTAGAAATAAAACATTAAACATCTCGAAAATGAATTTTAGAGAGAACTATAACTCGCAGATGTCAGTAGCGTCATAATGGTTTATATGTACAAAAACACGCTCGCATGTAGCGCCGATCAAATGCATGAAATGTGAAGTATTACTTGGATTTTATTGTTAATGAAGTTGTTTATTGTTGCCATTCAATGATTATTTACATGCGCCGTAATTAGTGACGGGCAAAATCGTATTTTTCAATCGAGTTATTCGAATATTTTTAGCGAACTCCGAATAATGAGTATTGTCATTTTATCCAACATTAATTGGGATGTCGGCCGCCGAAGCGATCGCCGTGACAATAAGTTTTTTTTTCCGGATTTTACCAGAAGATTGAAAACTCCGTAACAATGCGGCGTGTTTATTTCATAATTTTGTCATAATTGCAGGCTGCAGTAAATTTTTCGTCACCGCGATCGTTTCGGCGGCCGACATTCCAATTAATGTTGTTAAACTATATTAAAGCACTTTTTTATTCACTAGCAAATATTAATTCTCACGCAACGGTGGATATCCTAGTTTGGTTTTTATATTTCGGACAGAATTGTGAGTTCCCATCGGCGAAGATGTTAAAGACAACTAACTATTAAGGAGTGCATTCACAACACAAATTGATTTTATTCTGATTTTTATCTTCTATGTAGGATTTGTATCACAGTTTGTAAATTGCGGTCCCAATTTTAAGCGAACAATATTATCACTACTGACCCCGGGATGCTATATTTGTAAAGCGGATAGTTGACATTTCTATGCTTTTAATTTTAGATCGTGTCCGTGTTACTTTCGTACTAGATAATATTTAAAAAACTTCGCAATAATTGGTAACCTCTTGAATACTCAGTGTTGTGTATTCACGTAACTCAGCTTGGGGTTAGGACACTGATACTAAACACGTGAATAAATCGGAAATAAAGGCATCTCTACGTGGTCAAAAAAATATTTCTCCCTAATATCTCGACAAATTTCCATAAAATACATTATTTACCTGTCCTAAGTCCTTAAATTAGCTTATAACCCTTCTCTCCTTATGAGCGCCCATAACGGCGGTAAAATTCGTTTCCTGTCTGTTTCATGGAGAGAAAGGAAAATACGTCTTCCGAAATTGCAATCAACAATTAAACATTCTTATTCATCATTATAATTATCAGCGTCGAATAAAAAGGATAACATATCGTGGAGACGAAAAAAGGTTGATGGTGAAACTGCGTTACGGTGATAACGCACAGAATAAAACTTTCCGGTCTTCCGGAATTGCAATCAACAATTAAACATCCTTATTCATCATTATAATTATCAGTGTCGAATAAAAAGGATAACATATCGTGGAGACGAAAAAAGTTTGGCGGTGTTAATTGCGTTACGGTGATAACGCACAGAATAATATCGTGCAGAGAATCAAAATAATTGACTGACCAATGTTAAAGGGAGCAACGTGACCCTGAAGTTTTCCAAATGCACCTCACATACCTGTTTAGCATACATTTTATTGATTCTGCCAACATGGAAAGGATGGGCACGAATTATGGCCACAGAATTTCACCATATATTGGTAAGCACAGATTCGAGCTGCTTTTAAGGCTTCAGCACTCAGCTGTTCATATTCATCAGAAAACATATGAATGCGTAATGGAAAATTTTGTACATTCGCTTTCTTTCTTCCTAAATCATAGATCCTAATTTTTATATCTGGTACACCACGATAAAAACGAGACTTCAGGTGAGGCTTTGTCTTGCAATGACGATAGCAACGAGCTGGACGTCGACTCATCCCGAAATCTCCTCCTCTCATCCACAGATGAGGTATTATTTTAAGTGGAGGCTTATATTAAAATCATTTTAAAAATTCAGGCTAGGTCTTATTTTCAGGGAAACACGGTAGTAGCGGAATATCGGTATCGTCGTTTTTTCGTTGGTATCGGTGTCGGCGACAAAAGTGGTATCGGTACATCTCTTCATGGAAATGGTCAAATACCTAATATGAAAGTGTATCCGTGAATTATAAATGAAAATTTGCAAAACCTGTGATCGATTTTTGCGATTTCTTCCATCTCCAAATCGATTGATTCCTTTTTTGCGGAAATCAGCAGTCTTTTCACAACGGTATAAAGAACAACAACAACTAAGTAGCAAAACGACTCTATATGTCTACCTGGGATGTATTTGTTTTATATAACTTACGTGCCAACAAACAAGTTGACTTTCAGACACGCCGATCAAATAACTTTTCGTGAGTCGCATTCGCAACAAGCGTCGCAACGAGTCGTTGTGAGTGATGGACTCCGCAGGACGTAAATAAATTCGACGCTTCATTTATGACGTCACACTTGCCGAGTATACTATAATATGTATCAGCGTTTTGTTTGCTTCGGTTGTGCTGTGCCTCCGTCAGTCCTTAGGGGAAGGGTTCCGTTTGGCATTGGAATCTATTCGGCCAAAAAAGTCCGTAGGGACTACAGGCTACAGTGGGAATTACTGAATTAGTTAGCTTGTGATATGGTAAATATTGCTGCACAGCTCATTGTACTATTAGCAAGCCGTCTTAAATCTGTACCCGGTATTGAGGCGAGAGAGTTCATTTCATCTGCCAAGTCACAGAGCCATGAAACATACAACTGAACCTGTGATAGGCTATATACGATATGAGTTACATACATTATAAATAAACTGATGTTTTTGGTATATGCTCTATAATTTAGACATACAGATACGGTATAGCCTATCGCAGTATCTGCATATTGCATTTCTACTGCATAAAACTCTGCAGAATAGCCTATTCCAGTATTCAACTATTACTGTATTATCAGATTACAGTATTATATTATTCTGTATTGGTATCTAAATAAATTACTTTTATTTATTCAATCAAGTTATCAGTAGATAAGATGCTGCTACTGGAATATGTATAGATTTATTTGAACATAACTAGCCTACTATTTATTGATAATATCATGGATTCAACATCGAGACATAGACGACATCACAGTACTGAAAATGTTACTCACAAATCAAAAAATAAAGGCATTTTAGTATCTGGAGGCCAATCTCGTAAACGGCCAGGTTCTGAATCAGACATATTAGAAATGCCTCATGAATCTTCTTTACAGCACCAAGACTCTATTCAACTAGCTTACCACCACAGGCCAACATTTGCTGCTTTAAAAGGCAGCACAACAGGTGCAGGACGACACATAAAACCAGTTTATATTTGGACAAAGGATGAAGTCCAGAAATGGGTTAAACGACATGCGCCAAGATCTTATGAGAAATATTCGAGTAAAATGATTGAACATGAAATCACTGGGCGGGCTTTAATTTCACTCAATGATGCTAAACTAACAAGAATGGGAATGGTAGAGCCTGAGATTCGAAATGAACTTGTTACAGAAATATTAAAACTAAGATTGAAAAGTTATATGCAATGCTTCAAAGGCTTAGAAGGTGCCGGCATGTTTGAAGTTATGTGACACTTATGTTTTTTATATTAAACAGGGGCTCACTTTGTATAGAAGCATTCTTGAATATGCCTTCATTTGCATTCCTATTTTTATTGTGAAATATTGGCAATCATGGAATATTTTTGATGTTATATAATCAGTTGGGTGCAGTTATCCAATTCCAAGATCTGAAGATGTCACGTCACTTGGTTCAGTAAAACATACCTCTGTTTGTCTCTGAAACGAGGGCGTCTGGCACAACAGCAGATGCATCAGATTGTGCCATGCTTGTCTCAATAATAATCTAAATTAATTGTAGCCACCATGTGACCAAAGTTGCTTTTTTCGCTAAAAACTTTCGAATAGTACATATGGTCAATATTTTTTCCCTTCGGAAAATTGGAAGATTTTTTTCTGGCGAATCTGATGGTGACGTTTTTAGATTGTGCCTCCTTTTAGTTTGTTGTGTTTTGTCGATTTATGCCAATATGAAGGCCCAGACTCTCTTGTAAAGGATCGATTTGCACTCACTGTTATAATTGATGTGGGAGCAATTCTCGGAATCGAAGAACTGTGCCATACTGATATTATTTGATTTTTCAATCATGGTCTCTTAAATTTCAAAACACCTGTTTAGTTATAATATTTTTGATATTTCTTGCTACATAATTTAAACATGCCAATTTACTGTGATTCTATTACAGACAATCACTTTATTTGCTAAGGTAATCTAATTGCGCCACATTGAGTTTGGTGTCCACATATTAGGAAGAGGTGACTGGTCACAGTCCTGGGTATATGTCAAGTCAAGTTTATTTTTTCTGTATGCCTAAATGAATTCCTGCTTTGATTTAATTAAAGTTTATGCATATCAACATGTGGCAATGCTTGCAGACCTCAGTAGATTAAGTGTTAAGAATTATTTACAAGAAATTTTTGACTTGAATGTAGAAATCAAATATTTTGTTGTAACATTCTCAGTGACACTTTGTAATTTGTATGTACCAATTTGTGACTTCTACTATCCTACTTTTATAATTATCTCTTACAAGTTTTGAAGTACCAGTAGCTATTTTTATGTAAGAATATGTGAGAGGTTTCTATTTTATAATATTTGAATGAATGGTACTTATATGGCCAATACATTTATTTTTGTAGACATGCAATTTGTTTACTCCGAAATATATATTTAAATATAAAGTTTTGACAATTTTGCACAATTATTTGGATACATTTTTGTCATTTGAATCCGTCCACTGCGCTGGCATGTTTCTAATTTACTACTAACTTCATATATCTTTATAATCATGTTTTTGTTGATTTTCACAGACCAATATCATATAAAAATCTTGAACATATATATGGATTTATCTGATGGTCAGGAATATACAGCAGTCACAATAAATCCTGATGTTTTCTATCATTTGAAAGAAGAAGGTTTTAAATACACTTTGTTTAATGTGGAAGGCCCAGGTTGTGATGAAAATCCGGCTCTGATTAAGTTTGAAGGATGTGGCTGTACTGTTTTAAGTTGTTCTGAAGAAAACTGTCAATGCAATTTAAAAAATTATGAAAACTCAAAACTCAGAAAATCGAACCCATTCACTTCACCTCCGATTTACGAATGTAACTCAATGTGTAAATGCAGTGATGCATGTGAAAATAGACTCGTGCAACATGGTGTTAAAACAAGACTTGAAGTATGTAATATTCAATATAAAGGAAAGGGTGTTAAATGTTTGGAGAACATTGAAAAAGGAAGATTCGTTTGTGAATATGCTGGAGAGGTATTGGGATATGAAGAGGCAGTAAAAAGGACTAAGAATCAGTGTTCAAAAATTGGTGTAATGAATTACATTATATCAGTATGTGAATATAACTCAAATCCAAATGAAAAACCGCACAAATTAACTTTTGTAGATCCAAAATATATTGGAAACGTTGGGAGATTTATCAACCATAGCTGTGACCCAAATCTTGTAATGGTTCCAGTACGGGTAGACTCCGATGTTCCTCATCTTGCACTTTTTGCCTGCAAAGACATTGAAGTCAATTCGGAGATCACATTCAACTATGCGGGAAACTGCAAATCTGATTTTATTGACAATTCAAATGCAAATCAACAAAACCAAAAGCCATGTTATTGCGGTGCAATATCTTGTCAGAAATATCTTCCCTTCGACAGCACTTCATTAATAATCGAATAAATATTTTACATTCATTTCAGTTTCAGATATAGGTTAATAGTTATAATCATTTATGTGCCGCTGAAGAGATGGGTTTGTGTAAATGCCCAAAGAGAAAAGTAACAAATTTGTTTTGTTTCGAACACAGAGTCAATGTTTGTGAACATTGTCTTGTAGAAAATCATGCCAGGGTAAGGATTATATTATGTTTGCCAGCATTAGTTTCTTTTCCACATTCTTGCTCCTTACAACCATCCGTTTTCCTTGCTAAATAATCAAAATCACAACCAGGGCACATTTGCGATATATTATAGTGCAGGATACATATACAAGTTCATGTAATACAGAAAATCTTTATACAAAACCCATTATATACAAAAAGGGATTTATGACTCATAATTTTAAATTTTCAGTGTGTTGTGCAATCTTATCTAAATTGGTTGAAAGACAGTGACTACAACCCAGATTGTCAACTTTGCAATAAACCTCTTGCCTCTGGAAATGTCGTCAGATTACTCTGTTATGGTAAGTTGTTTTTTAATCTTTGCCTTAGACCTAAGGTCACTTCCCATTAGCGTTATTGGCAGTTGCATCAAGCATCATTTTACAAATTCTTTCAGATGTGTTTCATGAAGCCTGCCTAGATAGACATTACGAAAAACTGCCATCAAACACTGCTCCAGCTGGTTATAAATGTCAATTATGTGAGACCAATGTTTTTCCTGCACCAAACCAAGCTGGAAAAGTCATCGACCAATTGAAAGAATGTCTTTCAAAATTTAACTGGGCAAGAATTGGACTTGGGTTGCCTTTGGTGAGTTGTTAGATCGGGAATTATAATTTAAATGCACCGAATGCAGGGCAGTGAGTTCTACATAGTCAGAATTATGTTATCTTGAAAATTGGAACTGGAATACATTTTTTTCTAGTTTGGTATGGACTTTGGAGCCTGTTTGAACAGCTTCGAATAGTATGAAAAAGCCATGATTAAATAATGACTGGGTGTGCGTGTGACATATTTTGGGCTCTTGACAATGATTGGCATAATTTTATAGAAGTTAAATCAGAAATATAAATTTTTAATATTCCCCCAGGTCATTTTCATTAGACTTAGCATATTAGAATATGTGTGTCATTCCTTCGTGATTGCTTCCATTCAAATCTGCACAGGGCTGGGGGCTGGTTCGAAATCACGGTGACTCCGACTCCCCAGTCCTGCACCCGCATTTCAAAACTTTGCGATAAAAGCTTATCCAATAATATGTACCATGTTCAGATAGATGAGTCAGAGATTATTGAAGTACCAGAAAGTGATTTACCAGAAGATGAAATGTCTGGAGTAAATACATTTGTTAAAGATGAAGGACAAAGTCGAGAGCATGAAAATCTACACGGATCATCAATACCCAAACCTGATTTTAATCTTTCATCAAGCACAAATGTATCAGATACATCTTGGATGAAGGTATTTCTCTTTCAATATACATTATGAACATTTTAGTTTGATATGCTATTGAATTAATTAATTAATTTGCTATTCTTTTAGGTCAGGGGTGGGCAAGATTTTTGGACGAGGGGCCAAAAATTTTGCCACCCTGACTGGCGGGCCATGTAAGTGTGACATAGAAAGTTGACTGTCTTGAAATTTTTTAAATTACGAAGAGAATTTACCGATACCAATACCATATTTAGATTGTACGTGTTATAGATGTATATTAAATAGAGTGAAGAAAAACTTAAACAAACACTTATAAAAATAAAGCAAACCTGGTTAAAAATATTGAGAACAGACTTTTTGCGAAATTGAAATTGTAAGAGGCTTTATGATCACTCCAGCTGTCTTTTTCAGTAGCTATACAGTATGTGCAGTGAGGGTTTTATATATTGCACGCCAATACTCCTATTATTATATAAAGAATCAATACGGATAATCCAATGACATCTGATTAATGGCTCTGCATCGACTCCCTTTGTTTGGTTGCTTTATGCCTCAATATGATATGTTCTTTATTTAAGAATTCATCTCTATTTACTGACTACAGTCCTCCAAACAACAAATCACACAGTACAGTTTTAACAATGGACGACTTCCCAGCCACTGGAGGTAGGTTTTCTAATCAATTTTAGGTAAATGATATTTTCTATAATCAAAGAGCAAAAGGGAGTATAGGTTACCAAGATCAGAATCATTTTCTATTCCAAATATATCCTGAAAAAAAAAAAAATTGCTGTGGTTTCCTATCTTTTGCAATACATTCCCCCTTTGCATATTTGTCTCCCTCAGTATATATGAAAATCAGTTTTCATTTGTTGTTCAATTTTTGGTCGCGATATGCACAACTCTCGCTCTGATATTTCTACAATTTTAATTGTTTTCAATGTGTTCATAAATATCACAAAATAAGAGTCATACTACAAGCAAGAACAAAGTAAAACTTCCTCTGCTTAAACAAATAAACTCCACCTTTAGGAGAAATTCCTCTCTGGCTGTGAAACCCGTGTATATTGCATATAATATATTCTGTTGGGTTTTGTTCAATAGAGGAACAGCAATCCTATTCATTTGTCAATTGCACAAAATTTCAATTCATCAGATAAAATGTTTTAAATTGTTCCTGATATCGTGAATATGTTTGAATGTTTTCGAGTACCAGTATTCGATTCATTTTGGGCATCCCTGTTTATTACTTTTTCAAAATATATTTCTAGATCAAACTGACTGATGCAATAGTGATTTCAACAAGTATTTTTTAATCAAGACGCTATCAATTTGATAGTTTGCAAATCTTACAATTTCTGAACCTGCAGTAGTTTCTGAATAGTACCAGATTGAACATGCTATTCCAGTTCAAACCTTGTCAGATCAAAATAAATGAATATGATTTTATGAATGTGTTTGTGTACTGAAAATATCGTTATGGCTGTTAGCAATTCACTCATTTTTAATCCTGGAAGTCGTGCTTTACAGGTTCTAAAGTAACAGATGAGCTGGGAGCAGTATCTAGAAAACTTCTTGGGGGCAATTTACCAGATTCATTGAGACAGACAGTCGCTGGAAATGATCCAGATTCCGAAGATAAATATAAACGAAGACCTGCGTGGACATGGTTAATGAGGTGGTTGAGGTAAAAACATTTTTATTTTATTGAAAGCAAACAGTCTGGTCAAAAATTTTTTTCGATGTGGAAGCCAGGGTCATAAATAGGAAGTAGTGTTCCATCACAATAAGGAGTGCTTTATTGCGGGGCCAGTTATCATTGACATCAACTTTTTAAAAAGAACAGCTGGCTGAAAAAAGTTGAATTACAGTTGGTCGTGATTGGCAGACGTTTGGTGACAAGTACATTATGAAATGTATCAACCCAGAGATAGTTATGCTTGAAGGATTTTGTGAAAAAATGAGCCAACCCCAGAGGAAAGAAAATAGGTTTTAGCCGCCCAATAACACAACCCCAGAAAATTATGTAAAAAAATTGGGTCCAAAAAATCGTCTTATTAGCCTGAAAATGTGGTACTTGAATTTATCTGTCATCTTTGTATCTCGAGTGTTGAAGAATAAGGAAACAATTAACTGTACTGCTATTTGAGAATTCAAGCCCTTTCTCTTTCTCTTAAATGCTCTCACTTTAATTGACAACTTTTTTTCATTCAGGTCACGCATGTTGAGAGCAAGAGGCAGAGGCTATCACGATATGAATGTTATTCCAAAAAAAGTTGCAATATTAATTTTAGTGGGAATCATAGCCTTTTTCACAATTGTTATTTTTGCAACACAAGTAGGACGAAAAAGAGCAGAAGAAAATCCATTTCTAGACCCGATGGCTAATCCTAATATCCACGTTGCTCATCATGGTGACGCTGGTTTAGACTATGGTGGGGGAAAGATAAGACAAGGGCAGGCTTTTTTGAGTGATGATAAAGAAGAGAACATTGGTTTTGTAGGTAGAAGACAAAAATTATAGTATTATTCTACAACTAAAATCTATGGTGCCAGTTACACAGTGTGAATACTTGCACACAGGGTACTAGCTTTTGCTGTATTAACCATTTGTTATTATATGCACAGCACACATATTTGCCGATACTGCTCTTATTTTATGTGGGTGTTATGGGAAACAATATTTTATAAGAAGAATGAATGCCTGATGGGCAGTGTGCTTCAGCAACAGTTATTATGTGATTTGTATATTTTAAATATATTAAATGATATATATGATCATCTGTATTATTATATGAAAAGGCATTTGTACACCACACCAACATCTGATAAAAACCCTGTGCCTCGCTAGCGGCTCCAAAACAGATGTATATGAAGAATAATTTGCAAAATGTTAGTTGTAATGCCTCTCTCTCAACATTGCTGTTGTAACATGTATTATTGAATCAGTAACAGAGATCAGATTTTAAAATTTCATTGCAATGTTAAGTTTGACAATGTGATTCGTTACACAAGAGAAATTTAATTTAATGTTCCAATAACTTTGATTGCATAATATCAGCAGTTTAAGAAAGAAATGTATGAATGGCGCAAAAAGTATACAAAAACGTCGTCCCTCAGATTTTCAATCACATTTATACAATATAAACCTCCTGAGGGTGGGCAATTTTCTTTAAATTGGATAAAATTTATGATATTGATACATTTCTAGGTGGGGCATAAATAAATTCATTTTGAGATTTGATATACAAAACAGATTGTTTAACGTTTGCTCCCATTCACCAACAATCGTAATATATATAGACAAAAATAAAGTTAAAAGTGATAAAATCATTCTAATGTTTTCAGCCATCAGATATTGCATAAAAGCTCATAACAAGAACAAGAGTAGCCTATATGAGTAATAATAATTTCATTAGCTGATTTCTACAAGTGCTACCTAAAAATAAGTTGGCACTTGAAGTTGATTGGATTGGATAAGTCTTGGCCTGTTTTAACAGTCTCACAAGTTTTAGTCATAGGAAACATGTTTATTAATAATGAGCGGTGGCAAACAAATATTCTGTGGCAAATTATCACAGCAGTAAAATAGGTTAGATAATATGGTCGCGCCAGTAAAGAACTTCATCTCCCAGCAGAACGGAATGGATTTAAACAGAAATAACACAGAGAAACAAGAGTATGTCCGATCTCAGCAGAAGAAAGAATCACATAATAAAACGGGGTCAAGATGGTCGGAGTCAAGCAAAAATGGTCAGTCCACAAAGAAACCTACGGGTTGGCCACAAATCTATTGATTATAAATTGCTGAAGTTATTGATAGATTAGTTAAAACTTTGATTGTAGTAACAATGAATGATGATGCTGTTTCTGCTACTGAATGGAATTCTTATTTTAATTATAAAAGTGGAAGTGTCTGTCTATATTTGCAACCTTGATATCACCGAATTTTTTGTGCAACAAAGTGCGCCACAAAAAAAAAAGGTTGACAACCACTGGATCATTAGTCGAAATAATAGCTCTGACTCCGCAAACACTAAGACAAAATAAAGAAATCAAAGAAAAGAGCTAAAAATTTTCACAGTTATCTTTACATAGTGGAATATAATATCTATATATGCCTTTGTTAAAGTCAGAATGTTATGCCATCTGTGTTTGTAAATGAAATGTGAAACTCAGGGCATCAACCTTTCATATACCCAACCATTTTCACCTTCTCTTAGACAAGGATTTGTAGTTACATTTTCATTAGATTCCCTTTTTCGAAATCTTAGTCGATCATGCATTCGATTTGATTGCCCTTGCCAAAATTCGATACTTTCTGGCTTTACAATGTATCCTCCCCAATATTCAGGCTTTGGTACATCAACACCTTTATATCGTTTTTCAATATCCTTTTCCACCTCAAGCAGTTTGTCTCTACTTTCAATTGGATAGCTCTGCTTGATGCTCACATGTGCAGCAATTTGGCTTTTTCTAGGTCTTGTGGAAAAATATTCAGTACTATTTGATGTTTCTATTTTCGTGGCTTTACCTTCGATTCTAATAGATCGATGCATTGTGTTCCAATAAAACATTAAAGCAACATTTGCATTTGTTGCCATCTCATTGGCTTTTCGGCTATTATAGTTTGTGTAAAATTTAAAACCATCTTTATTAAATCCTTTTAATAAAACCATTCTAGAACTAGGTTTTCCATCACTACTTACAGTAGATAATGACATGGCATTAGCTTCTATTACTCCTTTGTGGGCAATAGCTTCGTTCATCCAAACTGCAAACTGTTTTATGGGATCCGACGATTCCAAATGATGTTCTAAAAATGTATCATCTGTCCCACAATAAGGGTGGCGCAAATGTGTAAGATTGTTCTCTTCAACGCCATCGTTGTCCCCATAGCACGCCATTCCAACTGTAAATTTTCTTATTGTCGTTTCGGGCATGTGAAAGATCGCGAATAACTGTCGGCATCCGCCAAGCAGTAAACCGACACGACAGGTCGCCAGCGCCAGTTTTATATCCAACAAAATCAATAATAAACAAAGGATAAACCATAAACTCACAACGGAAGGGGAATCACCAAGTATCTACGAAGGCACCAATGGCATGTCATTGTAGGAGCCTCGTACATTGAAGGCACTCGTGACGCGGACGAGTCCCGCTGAATCAATACACACATCGATGGCTGAACCACAGTTCAGTGCACTGAACTAAAAATATTCACAGCTCTGTGACAAGTTCCAACGTAACCTGGAAGACAACGTATCGTAAGTATTTTGCATTTCGATGACCTTGATCATATTTTTGAACGCAAAATGTACATATGGATCGTTTTCAAATTTGTCGTTGTTGTTAGTCTTTTTGGAATGCTTGCGGTTGTTATTTAAACGCAACTACCTAACCAATCGATTATATAAACGACCATAGAAGGATATTCCATTTTTCAATTTTTTTTCCAGACATACGAGTCCCGATATTTTTACCCATGATTTATTGAAATTCGGGTCACGTATCTGGAACATTAAAATATGTCCAGATTTTCGCAAAGCAAAATTTTCCGAAACACGAACAATTTGAACCAGAGTCAACAAACACTGGCAATTCCAGAATTTCGTTGAGGTGTGGGTAATTGGATATTGAAAATTCGTGACGTTAAATTTGATTTATTGGACACTAAAGATTTATATGAAACGTTTTGCTAAATCGTTGTTGTTAGTCTTATTGTTGGAGCGACTATTTGTTGACCCTACTAAAAAGGTAGGATTAGGGTTACTTTTAATACCTAGGTATCAGTACTTTCAGTAGTAACCCTATCCGGTATGTTAGTCGTTGCCCTAACCCTACCTTTTTAGTCATCTACTACTGTTACCTACTTTTTTAGTCATCTACGGCTGATACCTACCTTTTTAGTCATCTACGACTGATACCTACCTTTTTAGTTACTGATACCTACCTTTTTAGTGACTGATACTTGTGAATGTGATACCTACCTTATTAGTAGGGTCCACTTTTTGTTGCCCAGTCCTATGGGGCCTATGAAGTGGGATTTCACTTTTTTTATTTTCATTTATGGAAACACCTTTTAATTTCGTGACGACCTCTGCCCCGAACTTCTCGGTGGACTCGTTGCTACGCCTAAAGCAATAAACTGCATATTAAGAAGCACAAATGTGACAGCAGAGAAGGAGGACGTGAGCAATTTTGCCTCATCTTAGTGTTAATTCGAATAGCGCAGGATGTTCCTAACCATGTGTGGTAGTTTCAAGTCGATTTTTCCTGGCATGTATTTATTTATGCATTACCCAATTGCATTCTTTGCCCAGACAGGTAAGCAAATGGAATAGACAAACAATTTCTGCGTCTTAGAAAACGGCTTTTTAGAACTCTATATTTCATTCTAATTTAGGCTCATTGAGATAGTTATTTGAATATTGTGTTTATGTATGATTGCGCAATGCTGTCGTGTATTTTGTATATAATAAACGGAAAATATCTACCGCTGGGACGTGACACCAATCAAGGATTTATAAAGTTCGAACCAATAACAAAAACAGATGCCATTATACTGAATAATATGACCATGGAAAATGCTCCATATTCCAGTACGGTAATTTAATTTTCATAATATATGTGCTGAGCTATATGAACAACTCGGAGTCCATCTATCATCAGCCTATACACCTCGTACTGATCATTTTTTGGATTAATGCTGGAGTACAATGGAGAAGAAGATTCCCAATCCTGTATAGTTTCCATGATGAGGGAAACGTTTGGATTCCGTCATAGGCTGGACTTCTACCTCCATCGCTATAGCCAAACCATTTTGTTCTATCCAAAAGTTGCCGCTTGCATATCAGTGACTACCCATACCAAATAACTGTCACGTGGAATGACTTAACTGCCTCTTCTACGGTCAACGCATTTTATATAGCACAAGGCATCTATCTAACAAAGGAGATTCGCAAGGAACTATTTAATGACATGAATGAATTATTCATAAAAAAAACTTACGTGCCCGATAAAACATCATAAATATAAACAAAACTTGATTCGATAAACTGTGCCAGGCATTGTTCGTTAAGGCTGTAGAGCAAGTGTTTGGATGGACTTTAACATACTTTTCCAGGCTGGAAAGTACTGTACTGTACTAGATAATTTGAGTCGAAACAAATAGCGTAGTATGCGTTTTTTACCCCAGATGCGTTAATATCATAAAATGGATTCGACATCAATTTGATTTCCAGTATACCATATTCGGTTATTAATATAATACCAATTATACATTAATACAATTATACAAGAATTCATATTCCGTAATGTATGGAGGTTTAATTCCAATATTTGAATAATTCCATGATCCAATTGATTTGTATTCCACCATAACAATATCGTTAGCATGATATAAAGATCCAATTTGTCCATAGAGGTTATATATAACATAGCACATATTTTAAGAAACAAAAAAAAACAAAAAAATGTTAGACATGGAATAATGCGACCATAATCTTATCTTGTAATTAATATGAATATTAATTGAATATAATACAATAAACATAATTAATTCAAACTATATAATTTCTAAGCTCAAAATAGACAGGAAATAAGAGAAACACCAAGATATTCTATGAGGGTTTCCCCATTCGTCACCTATGTTCACATAACTCTTCAACTCTTTTTCTCCTAAAAAGTAAAGAAAAAACGGCAATAGACATGATTACAAGAGAGCTATGCTCAAATATATGAAAATTCTATGTTCTGTATAATTTGAAAAATTTAGCCAACTCCAAGAATGTTTTATATAATCACAATAAAAAATAAATGCATGCAATCTTCTATCGCTCTGTCACAAAATAAACAATTGCCATTTGCTTCATTTGACCAATGTCTAATTCGTTATCCCATTGGCAGCCCATTTTGTGAAATCTTCAAACTTAATACCTGATTTTTTCTGAGAATAGAATTCACCCCCACTACATTCCAACTAAAATCAGGTCTTAAATTAAATTTAGAAATAGTCCTGAAACGTTTCTGTTTCCCTTGGGTAATGTTAAACTTTTTTAATAATTTTCTATATATACAACATTTTTGTTGTGGGATTTTCAGAAAATTTGTATTCAAAAGACATCAGTGCGGGGTTATGATCACTATATTTTTCTCTCGATATATCTTTCCATTCTTGAGGAATCGATCTTAAAATTTCCTGAACACACAAAATCACATTCCTGATTTTATTTTTTGCTTCATTTTCAGCCAAGTTTCCTATTATATCTTCTCCATATATTTTTTCAGTAATTAGTTTACATGATAATTTAACAATATGCTCCATTTTCGTTATATTTGCCTTAATCCAATTACTTACATCATCTGGATGATTTCTCAAATTAATCAAGGATTAAACCAAATATACTCTTGGTAAATTTCGGATCTCAGTTTTAAAGGATTTCTTTGTATATTTAAAGTCTTGAAATAATTGACAATATTTGTGTGAAACTGAAGTAAAGGTGTTTTTAAATTTTTTCTCAAATTCAGATGGATAATTTCTAAATTGGATGTTTCAAGTTTAGTGTGATAGCTATTAATATATTTTTTGACTCTGCCACTCTATGGTGCTTTGGGTACAATTGATCAATTTTCACAACCATTTCAGTTGAATATTTCTGATCTGCAATTCGAGATCAATACATCCCAAACCACTCTGCATTTCACTAGCACAGCATACACTCCTGCTAATATATTCTTGCCCCCCCCCCCCCCCAAATAAATTTCTAAATTAATTTTTTTAAAAGTTGACAAAAAAATTTAAGGTCATATTTCAAAAGATGCTAAACACCAAACTTTTGACAGCAGTAATTGTTTAGTGATTATATTCTTTCCAATCATTGTTAGGTTCCTACCACGTCATAAATTTTGAATTCTTCTTGTAACTGGATTCCAATTTTTATCAAATTTAAGTTTATCATTTTCTATCCAGCAACTTAATACTAACATAAGGTCCCTGGAAACGTTAATGTCACGAACCTAAATAATTGGCAAGTTTACTAAATTGCCACATACTAGTATTTGTGATTTATTTTTATTCATATAGGTCCCTGTTGCTTTTTCAAAATGTTCAATAACATTCATAGATACACATAAAGAATAGTAATCCCTCAAAGTCGACAATGCGTCATCTGCAAACCCTTTATATTTTTGTTCCTCATTCGCTACATTAATAAAACCTCTAATTTGTGGATTATTGGACACGTAGTGGACATAACGATCGTTTCAATATTATGTTGTTGTTGTTCTTGTTCTTGTTCTTTGACACGTTTTTAAAAAGTCGCTTTTCTCTTCGAATACTGGACCAATTGCTTTGAAATTTTCAGTGGTTAAAGATAAAAATTTTCTCCAGAAGGCTATTACTTTTTTTTTCGCTATGACGTCATCAAAATTATGTGACTCTACGTGTTCATATATTTGAGCATAGCTCTCTTGTTTCTGATATTACATGCAAATACTTCAGCATATAAAGTATCGGAGACAGTGGACACCTTGCCTTAAACCTGTTTCAACTATAAATTCCTTGCTAATATAACCATTGGTTATAATTTTCGAATTCATCTTTGTATAAATAAATTTTTGTAAGAGATGTCCAAAATGGCCCGAAATTGAATTTTTTTAATACTTTAAACAAAAATTCCCTATACACACTATCATAGGCCTTTCCCAGTCTATTGAGAACAATAAGAGATCAGTTTTTGAATAGTTTGCATGGAAAATATCATCTCGAATTGTTATTAAATTTTCATGTATATTTCTGCCATACACAAATCCCGTTTGATCTGGATGAGTCAGTTTAGGAAGTTTATATTTAATTTGATTACACAATATTTTGGTAAAAATTTTATAATATAAATTAAGTAATGAAATAGATCTCCAATTGGTTAATTTGTTCCTTTCAACTTTTTTATACAATAAAGTAATTATTGGCTCTGCCATAGTTTCGGTAAGTTGTCCAGAAGCTATACAACAATTATATACAACGAGTAAAATAGTTTTGACTTTGCCCCGGCATATTGTATAAAATTCTTTCGTAAGACCATCTAGGCCAGGTGCTTTATTTAGTTTCAAACTTTTGAATGCATCATCTAATTCTTGTTCACTTACACAAGATTCTAAATTTATCATTTCTTCATGGTCCAATTTGGTTTCAGTTTTACTGAACAAAATATTAAGCAAATCCGCATTCAATTGTTTTCTGGCGTAGATCTTTTTTTCAAATAATCTCTGCTCTTTCTGTATATCATTAGCATTTGTAAGGATTGTACCATCAACTGTCTCCGAATCTTTAGAAAGTTTAATTTGCCCTCTATGTTTCTCTAAATTGAAATAGTAAGAACTAGATTTTTCGCCTTTTTCATGCCATCTTATTCTACTTCTTATAATATTTCCATGCACTTTCTTTTTCGATAAATTATCCAACTCCTCTTTTTTTAATTCAACCTCGTGTCTTTTTTCTATATCAAACCTATTATTTTCATAATCCATTAGAGCTTTCTGGTATTTATTTATCATCGAATTTTCTTTTGCTTCTCCCCAACTTTTCAAGCATTTTCCACAGTATATTGCCCAATGTTTAATTTTAGCTGTAATCCCACCTCATCTTTAAACGTGTATACATGTTCAGAATGTCGTTTACACAACAATTCAAAGTAAATTTCTGTTTTTCATAGTACGAATAATTACTCCGGCGAATAATTATCTCGGCGGGTTGCGTTAAACGAATCAGGTGGTTTCAACATATCAAGAATGAACATACTTGAAACACAGCAGTACGTTTGTAAAATAAGATGTAATTAAAGTAACTGCAAGTTGTGTAGAGATTGATGCTATAGTTGTAACTGAAGATCGTCATTTGCTTTCGGTGCTGACTCTGTCTGGTTTATCTGACTTATACGAGCATCAGTTTTGGCAAGCCGTGGGGGTGTTGCTGTCGTACACCTTGATTTGGAACCTATTTTAAATGAATACTAACAATATGACAGCAACGGCAGGCTATCAAAGCGAAGAGCTTTTTCGTAATATGAATAATCTGCTCGGCAATACGTTAGACCTGCGCGGCATCAATGAAGGAGCCTCCACTTCAGCAGGTTCGTTTTACAGACTGTTGTGATTCTGATTTTTTGATCGATGACTTTATATCTTTATTAATCAAAATTATATAACAGAACCAACCAGAGATAGCTCGTATGCGGCTTGGTCAGCACAGGCTGGTTCACCCAACAAGCAAACGACAGGGTCTGGCAACGCAAACAGTCAAGGTGGTGTTTTTGCTATAAATAACGTTTCATAATCCATTTGATTGTTGTCGCTTTACTCACTAACTTACAATAAAACACTACATGAGCAAAATAGGCTTTTATTTCACGTTTATTAGTTTTACTAAATTTTATTTTGTATAATTCGAAACCGGCGATTGTGTCTAGGAAACAATGGCAGAGAAGTTTCGGATTTCATCAACAAGATCAGTGGAATGAAAAAGGACTTGACCTCTTCAAATAGCAATAATAATAACACCAACAGTAACACAGAAAATTTGGTTAATATTATCAACCATCAGCGAGAAATGGCGGCAAAACAGATGGCAAAAAACACGGACGTACAGCAAAGACTGAAGGAACTGCAGCATCCAGGGATAAGTATGCGTCGCACAGTGCCGGACGTTCATCAAGTCCCTGCCTTTGACTATCCGATTATTCCTGAGGGCTACGCAAACAAGTTGGATATTGACACTAGCATTCGACAAATTATGAATCGTTCTGCTCGCCGAGGTAGAGTATGATACGTGATTGCATTTTGTTTGTCATCCATCTTTGTCCTAAATTTCCATTGTAGACTAATACTATGTGTAATGTACATCTGTGTTTTGCTTTTTATAAGGCGTTCAACTTGCACTTCCCATCGGCTGCGTGATTTCAAAATGTGACACGCTCAGTAATGACCCTGTGTTAGGTTGTTTGTTACCTTTTTCAGATATTAGTGTTTTTACTGGCGTACGGAGATCCTTTTTTTAAAGAATCTTCCTGCAAGTACATAGAATCGTTCTTGCACATTAAGTAAAATTTTTGTAGTAAATAAATATAGTTTCAGGTAAGATTATATTAATTTTAAGCTGACGGACTCCGCGCAAGAACACCAGATCCTGGCGATTTTGCTTCGCTCATTGGACCGCCTCTTCTGTGTAAGTTTATGAATTTTTATTAACTGGTACTAAAAGTGTAGATATTGGAATCGCTAACTTTGTTCAAAAAGATTTCTGAAATAAAGTAGATCATGTTCAATTTAATAGATTAATGTTAGAAAGCGACTAAAACGAGGTATATCGGGTCGCCTTTACGTACCTACTCCCCAGCGTTTTTCTAATATATATATACATATATTCATAGTTTCAGTTAAACATTTTCCTTTAAAATTCAAAATGGTCTCTGCTCCATTATTTTTTTTTGACATGCGATTTGGATTTCTTAGGTCATTTTTACATTATATAAGCTCCATAACATACTGACTAATGGTATCTTAATGATTAATTTAAATATGATAAATCATGACTCTCCCAGCTCCACAGGAACTCCAACAAACCCTGTCATTGAGCATGGAAGGTGCACCGCTCCATCTTAGTACATTGAACAGCGATGGGCTAAGCACACATTCATCTCATGACGCAAGTGGCTCCAGTATGAATTCCAGCATTTTGAGTTCTGGATCTGATCCGATGTCCATATCAGAATTAGTGGTAACTGTTTTTATTGTGCTTTATTAGGCATGTACGTGTACAATATAGATTAAAACTAAGACTATAACTTTCTCATAGTTGAAATAAATACAACGAAATGATTACGTTTTCAGAGTGGAATTCAAGGTCTCCATATGGGACCAAGTCGCAATTCAATATCTGGTCGATCCACTCCAATTGTGCCCAGTCCTACAGACTGGTGCGATGCGTCCACCCCGCGACAATATTACAACCCCGATGGCGACATTGGCATGATTAACCCGTTCTCCTCAGAGCAACTGTTGGATGTTGCTTCATTATATGGAGTCTCTGACAAAATGGAATATGACGCAAGACTTCATCGTTCCGCTGCTGGTAAAGTTCATTTTATCGATTTTCAAATCAGAAATATGAATGTTAATTTTATTGCCAGAGCAATCAAAAAGCCCAAGTCTTTCAAATTAGGTCAACAAATTTTTTCTGTAGTTTGGTATATGATTATATCCATCATGATATGATATTTTAAATAAATAATATATTACATAATTATATAATTGACAGTTGAATTGTTTTCTTAAAGTTTGATGAGTAAAAATGATGTGATATTATTAATTTCATGTCACAGCGTCGTGTGAGGCGACCTTTACTTGGAGCGGGCATCTTCCTATTCGCCATTACGTTGCGCCCACTTATTCACCAAAGGTGTTTCTTGGTGGAGTACCGTGGGACATCACCGAAGGTATGGAGAATATAATATTCTTGTACAAAATGCTCCCATTTCACACAACATAAAAATGGATTGCTATAAGTGTATTATAAAATCTGCTTTTATCATCTTGCAGCGTCATTCCATCTGACTTTCAAACCATACGGACTAGTTCGGGTTGAATGGCCAGGAAAAGACACCAAAGGACCTCGCTATCCTCTACGAGGTTGGTTGGTATCTGTTATTACTGAATGTATATCATTTCATATAAAAAGTATCTCCTTATTATCTATATCAGTGGTTTTCAAAGCCTTTTTTTCTAGAAACATCCCAAGAAACCCCTGTGCAGTAGTCCAATTGTCCTTTAATGTCTGAATTGTATGAACAGTAAATATGAGGCCCAATAGGTGTTTGATTATATTCAAACAATATGATTTGAATGGAAAGGCGGGAACCCCTGGACTGTATTGGTGGAAACCTAGGGTGCAGCGGCGCCACGGTTGAAAACCAACGCTCTGTATACACCATATGTCCATTAATATTGCAGGCGCTAATTAAAAAGAGTGGCAACAAACATCCATGGCTATGACAGTATTTTTCATTTTTTAAATTTACTCATTGATTGAATGAAAAATTGTGTGCAGCTGGATACGTTTATCTGCTATTTGAAAGTGACAAGTCCATAAAAAGTCTCCTGCATAACTGTACTCGAGATGTCACAACCAACGAATGGTTCTTTAGGCTGTCGAGTAGACGCATGCGCAGCAAAGAAGTGCAGGTATATTTTCTTGTCTCAATGTTGTTTAACATTCTAATTGAACTGCAATTACTGATATTGCGAGTTTCGGGGTTTTTTGGACCCCATTTTTTTGAAAGAACTTTTGTTCGCGCCTTTCTCTTTGCACAGGGCAATGTCTGCGAAGCCATTGATATCGAACGATATATTGAAGGAGCTCTCCGCAGACTTTGCAGTCGAAGTTATCTTAGCGCACAATTTCATCCATCTCGGTTGTGGTTCATTTGGAGGAATTGTTCTTAGTGAGCCCAAAAACGTCGGGTTGTCAGTGAATCACTGACGCATAGAGCGAAGTAGTGTTAAAATATACGAGTTTGTGTCTCATTGCTAATGCCGCAAATTCTCCTTTCAAAAAATATACTGTTAAAATTTTGGGAACCATGGCCCCCACCTGGGTACGCCTATCATTGTTCCATACGTTAATGATGTTTTTAGATAATACCATGGGTGATCACGGATAGCAATTATATGCGGGTTTCATCTGCTCGGTTGGATGCCAACAAGACCATCTTCGTTGGAGCTCTTCATGGAATGCTGACGTCAGAAGGTCTTGCACACGTAATGAACGATCTGTTTGGTAATGTTGTGTATGCTGGAATAGACACTGACAAATACAAGTACCCAATAGGTGAGTCACGGTTTCACCCTTGAAAGTGACTTTGTTAGGTTTACAGGCGCTTGGTAAAATACATGAAGAATTTGTTAGCTTTAAAATACAATAGTATGTTCGTTAATAAAGTAGAACGACATTCTCCAAACACTACATTAATCAAAACCTACAATGCCTAAAGATGGTAATATCAAATTCTATAGTTTTTTTGATGATTGGGTATCGATTAATTCATTTACGTAACGACTGAACTTTTTTATTAATTGCCTCATAGGTATCGAGTGAGCACTTTCGCGGCGTTCACCATCGGCTCTGTTGTGCAATATTTGAACTCATTTTTACTATGTATTACAGGGTCTGGCCGGGTTACCTTCAATACCCACAGCAGTTACATGAAAGCAGTGAAAGCTGCATTCGTTGAAATCAAGACTCCGAAATTCTCCAAGAAGGTTCAAATCGATCCATATCTCGAGGACAACGCTATGTGCAATCTGTGCCAAGCTCAATCTGGCCCATATTTTTGCAGAGATCTTCCGGTGATTTAATATGATATTGTGCAAATATGTCGCTTTATATCGATGATAAATAAAGCACAACCGTTTTGCTAACATCGGTGGTGCTTTATTTATCATCGATATGAATTTACCTGGTGGCAATAATGCGCTAGGTCGCTTTATGAAGAAATTTATGATTAATGTTAACATTGACCATTCCTTATTTCTTAACTCGTCTAATATTATTACGGGTAGTCTGCGTCGAATCAAAGCTTTCAAAATTCCGATAGCTACGTTTTTATGTGCCAATATTTCTATAGATTGTGCACGCCAAATGTTAAAAATATTTATTTAAATACGACTAAAGGCGATAAAAAGATAATGTGTATTGTGTAAGTCAATTTATTAGTATTTTAATTTTGCAAAAATATCTTAAAATGATAGTTGTATTCCGATTAGTTGGAGTTACCAAATTACATTTTGACAAATTATTATTTCGTGTCACATCCATGTTCTTCTTACTTTTTCCAAGTATTGTTCGGATCAAATTTTTTACTAATCAAAAGTAATTCTAAATCAAATTTGCAGTTGAAATAAATTCTTGGATTTTTTAGGATTGCTTCAAGTACTACTGTCGTCAGTGCTGGGAATGGCAGCATTCAATTGGCGATCTCCGTAATCATCGTCCACTGATGAGAAACCAGCGTAGACGATATTGAGAAAATGTATTTGCATCACACATTTAGGTTTGATTTGGTGCTGGGATCGGTGAAACAAACTTTTTATTTTCGAATTTATTTTTTCACAAACACGTTCAATGAAATAGTGAGTTTTTTCGCCATTCATCATATATACATACACACGTACATATTTTGCTCCGAAGTCTATTGTAAAGCCTTCGCCGCCGCTTTGTGCCAAACTCCACCTATTTATCAATTTCTTAATTAATTTCTTAACCCGGGCTTTGTGCCATGTTATCGTTTGGGGGAGGGTGCTGTTGTTTAATTGGTGTTATGGGGTTTATTTGCGTTTTAGTATGCCTATTGCGTGCAGTTTTACATACATCATATTGTCATGCTTTCGTGACATGAATTTATTATATTATTAATGTTAAATGAATTTCAGAAAATTTGGTACCGAAAAACAGTAGCATTGGGTATATCGTCCAGAACTGCCTACAATTATCTGAAAGAGCTATAATATTTAGGAAGGACATACAGTTCTCGATGTTGTTTCTAATGCTATTGCAAGTTTGAAAATACTTGTGGTGGTTAAGAGTTTTAGTGCGATCAATTTTACTAATATGTTGTTCATGAGGTTATGTATTTTATCCAATTTTGTAGTATCAGACGTGTCAAATTCTTATGATTAAATATATTAACCGTTGAAAGGGATTGTTTTATGCAATAGGTGGATACTGCAGTAGCGAGTAATAAATTGCCACCTTTGCAACATTTATGAACATTTTAACGTTGATTTTTTTGAACTTCTGTTTCAGTTACTTTCATTTCGATAAACTTTGTTCCAACCTTACTTGTTTAATTCAGATTTTAAGTCGTCTAGTCAAAATATCATCTACAATGAAATGAACCCATTTTAGCATAGACACTTTACATTTTAATTAATCCTAATATTTCAACTTTTACTGGTTATTTTAGTGTCAAATAAATGAGTTTTAGGCATTCCTCCCCCTCTCGAATGTTGGAGTTTTTTGTTTGCGTCAATTTTTATGTTCTTGATTATTTTTTTCACAAACCCACCCGCCAGCATTGCGGGTGCTTGATAAGTTTCCTCCCAGCAAATTTATACAACCTTATTGTTCATTTGTGACCAGCTAAATTTTTGTGCATTTGGTGTAACACAATATGCGTTATGTTCCGCTTATGAGAATGCCAATTGAATAAATGCCAAACACCACAGCTGATTCTTTGTGCATTGTTTGCGAGGTGAATCGGGATTGGCAAAGTTTGCGAGGAATTTAAATACGGCTGATCGCACTGCTCATGGCTCCACCGTGTGTGGTTGTCGGGATGGTCATTTGTGGAAGAGTTGCTTGGAGTAATAGTCGTCTTCAAGGTGATTCACATGTCGACTTTTAGCATAGAAAATTAATTGGTGGTTATTTACATTCACCTTGCAATTAAGCTGTACTGTATCTGCTCTCCTTTACAACTTTTGGACAAATATTAAAATCCTGTCCTATATGAAAATAGGACTTCACGGAGTAATGGAATTGGTACTACAATTGCTGTGATCCATTGCGTCATAATTGCAAAACTAGATTTGTTCAAGATAAGGACAACGTATATATATATATATATATAGATATCTATTACGGTAGTTAAACGGACCTGCCATAATTGCAGTATTTAAGCGGACGTCGTTCCTGTGTCCGTACCATTGTTTTTAAATACGTACACGGAGAGCGCGAGAGCCGTTGACAACTACGGAGAAAAAGAGTCAACAGAATCATCTCGATAACGAACATAAAATTTTTGTCCGCTTAATTCGTCCACCTAATTCAGACCACTAAATGTGTCAGCCTATTTCGCCACTAAGCCGGACCTCTTTTATATGTCACCCTGAATGCTACATAAATGATGTTGCTTTTGAAAATAATAACTTTTCAGTGCATAACAAACACTTATTAATTCGCATAGCAAATTGTTTATTTGACATCTATAAATGTAAACGGGTATTCATTTTAGTACTACACATTTTGAGGTGTATGACCTCGCTTTAATTTCTGATGGATTCGAACCATGCAGCAATATTTATCACAGAGAATAGCGTTTCTTTTTCGATATTCAGTCTGTCGTACAAGGGAGCTGCACTGTGTTTGGTGTTAAAAATATTCTTCCATGTCAAAAAATACTCAAAATGCAACGTGAAGGTAGAAAAACAAAACAAATTAATCCGAACGTGTTATGTATTTGAAACTGAGAAATACACAGAGCTTATCACAAATGAACAGAAAATCCCGACCTGAAATTTTGAAAAGATATATGAGATTGCTGAAAGGAATACAGGACTTTAATTTTGCTTGGATGTAGATCACCATAAAACAATTCCAAGTTTGTATACTAGAAAACGTATTATACCTTTCCGCTCGTAAGTCACCTTATGCCTCATCCGATCTGGAAGAATGCTTATCGCTCATCGACAAATATTTTGAACTGGGAATTTTTACACAATATCTCCTTTTCCCGTTTAGTTACGCTGTTTCCGGCAGTGTTTACGTGAAGTCTCTTGAATCTGGTATAAACTTTCAACTTCTGACATCTAATTTGAAGTGATAAATTTATATATATAAATCCTTGCGAGTGTTCGCTTTCGAGTTTTCTCAAGTTTTATGGGAGAGTAACACAATTTACTTTTATAAAACTAATAACATAATATATATATATATAATATATTTCTAGCATAAATGGTCAAAAAACACCTTTTATATTGGTGGAAACGACATAGCTAAGGAAGGAGATTGGAAGTGGCAGGATGGTACTGATGTAATAATGAGAGGAGAAGCGAGATATCAAAACTGGTTTGTTCCCTAATTTTATTTAAGGAAATTGCAAAAACATAGACAATATATTTGGACACGAGTAGGTTGCAGTATTATAATTGCTATTCTCATAACGTGAATTTGTCAGGATTTTCAATATTACAGGAGCGGTAATCAACCCAACGACGGGGCCACCAACCTCCATGATAAAGATTGCTTTTATTCAGTTGGCAGAAAGCGGTACCAGTGCGTTGATGTTTACTGTAATGAAAACTTCTAATACATTTGCCAGAAAGGTAATATTGATTTTTCTCTGTTCGTTTCATGAACTAACTCACCAAGATTATTATGTGTCATTTATCTTCAAATTCCGCATCGGGATTCAATGGCTCTTTCTTTAAAATACAAAGCATCAAAGGCAACCAGAGAAGGTATTTTGCAACAAACTGCAGCACCGCGACACAAGTTGAAGGGTACAAAGCATGTAACAAAGTATCAACCGAAACTACAAGAAGAGTCCATCAATTCTTACAAACCGGATCAGCAACATTGAATCTTCGAAACGCAAATATTGCAGATGATGGATCTTACAGCTGTCGTTTATCGAATTCGTAAAACTTAGAATTCTACATCGGTATCACATGAAGGTAACCATAATTAATTATTTTGGTTTGTAATCTTTGCCTATTAATCTTGTGTTATTCATTTTTCTGTGGCTGGAAATCCCACAATTCATCAAATATCGAATAACACATGCAACTCTAACTTGATCATCTCATGGCAACCAAATAAAAAGGTATTTGGATCCCCACACAAGTGAGTTGACCATTATGCATATTTATGCATCAAGTACAAGATTTTGGGTGCTCCCGAAGTATGCGAACCAAGATGGCGGACATCGGAACGTAACACGGGTAACAGGTTAGGGTTAGGCGATAATTTTTTTCCAATTTTCCTTATTTTAGTCCTTTTATCAGTTCGAAGACTAGCCAAGAGCCTCCCGTAGTATTTATACCTAAAATTATGGCCTAACCCTAACCTAGTACACATATTACATTCCGATGTCCGCCATCTTGGTTCGCATACTTCGGGAGACCCAGATTTTGTTTATTCTCCAACCTCTGCTCTAAATAAAGCTCTGGATAAGCCACCAATATCTGTGGTCATTTTCTGACAATATTGTAGTGAACGAGCTGTTAATTACTTGTTGTCAAAATTATTACACTTTTTGCTGGGATCATGGGTATTAAGGTTGGTCGAATCTTTTTCCTGTAACGTCAACATGAGCAATCCTATCATGCTATTACTACCCGACACCGTCGTGCATAACGATAAACAGGGTATAAACAATTAATTCTATGTCCACGGAGACGTCAACTTTCTAATACAATTTCAATCATGAGAGGTTAAGGGTCATTAATAACAAATATATAATGATTAATATTGTGCAAAAGTTTCTTGTATTATTATTAGTGTAAATTCTATTCTGTTTCATAGAATAGAAGTGAGTCCGACCTCAGGTAGGTCAACAAGATGAGTGGATTCGCCAACATCTGAGAAGCAGTCAATTTCAATAACCAGTTTGCCGCCTACCAAGACCGACCAAATAAAAGTACGCAATATTAGTATAATACAGTACATGCATCTCAGTCATATGCAATATATATATAATACTTCTTTTTGTGATTACATTTTCTCTGGTGAGATAGCCATGGTAGCCTACATTGGGTCATTTTATATGTTTCAATTGTGACAGAAAATCTCATTTTTTCGTGAAGTTTGAAGCTACCTGGCTATTCTGCCAACTTATACACGTTGCGGTATTATAATGTTCTCAAATTTTTTTTTTGTCAGATAACTTCATGTGTAACGAAAGAAATTTGTCCAACAAAATATTCTACCACACGAAACGAAAAACAGGGGAAGCAACTTTATCTGTTGTATCGTCGTCAGTTGCTCTGTACAAGAATACGCATACTTGCGTCGTTTCGTGCCAGATAACTTCATGTGTAACGAAAGAAATTTATCCAACCAAATATTCTACCACACGAAACGAAACAACAGGGGAAGCAACTTTATCTGTTGAATCGTCGTCTGTTGCTCTTTATAAGAATACGCATACTTGCGTCATTTCGTGGGTATTACCTAACAAGACAGAAACTGGGAATTTATATATCGTGGTCAATATGTGCATTATCGATTGTTACTTGCAATCGTAGATCAGCTTCGAAGTCTCGGTTCTCCGCAGCTTACTTCAACATCTCATTCATCAACCACCAATTTTTAAGGGTATTCTGGTTAAAGATATAACCAACCGATGACACAACATGAGTGTTTTTAATGCAACTTTACCTGATGATTTATAGGAAGTGAATCTAACTTCGCAAGATTCAAACTTGAAGACAAACACGAAACTCATAGATGTGACGTCATTATCCCTGTATTTATTCAAACCTGGACCAAATCGCAACTGTTCCGCTTCGATCCAAACATTCAATTGTGTTTGACCTGTCCAAGGTTCTCGTGTGGGAAATCCAACAGGTATCAATTGAATTCACTAATTATTGTTGTATTTTTTTTATAGTTACTATACTGAATTAAAAATGATCATTGATAATTTTGTCACTCATATAGTCCTAATGAAATTGTGATTAAGTTTCAATTCTTGCCTTTGCCACGCTTCGTTTTCAGCATGAAAGTTTGTAAATATCGTTCAAAGCCCTGATATTAGAAATTTCTAGAATGTATTTATTTGTTATTAATTAGACGATATTAGAAAAATATGCAACCTATTTCAATATATATATATGATTTTGTCTGAAACCTAAATCACTATTAAGTTTCAAAAAAGATACTAACTGCTGTTCTGTGAACTACATTTTTTGAAACGAAACTTTATTGCAGTAACTTATGACTTTAGCAGACACCAGTTGACGTGAGACATTAAACAGGTCATTTTCTTCAAAAAATTAGGAAATTTGGAAAACACTTCATGAAATATATATTGTTTAAAAAACTATTCTTTCGGTTTATGAATAACGTCGATTAAATATTCATTGAAAACGAATTGGATGGGACAAGTTCAAAAGATTTTAACCGCCAACAATATTTCTTCTCTGAACAATTTTGTTGCAAACAATTACAACGTAAATTAAGCAGCACTTGCCATTTTCCAGAGAATGCTCGAACACAATACAACACCGCCCGGAGTTTTTAACTGTTTTACTGACCCGTTGCATGTAAAAAAAGATTATATTCTGAAACAGGAGAAATTGTTCATTTTGTTTTTCAAATTGAAACTCAATTAAAACTAAATATATATGATTCAAAATAGATGTGATTGATGGTGTATAGCAAATAATAACAAAATTTTTTTTTTATGAGTTTATCAAGTCAAATTGATGGCTATTCAACGACAATAT